GGAAGAGGAGGAAGGAAGAAATGGGAACATAATGGAATTTGTGAACTTACTCAAAGCATATAGTACACATTTATGGAATAAACCCAATGAAACCCCCTCATATCATACCAATTCAAAAATATCATAGAAGTAATTTTTAAAGAAAATGACCATCAATATGTAGTACTGATGAGTATGGAGTAACTGGAGCTCTCCTACATTGCTAGTGAGAGTTCAAACTGGTGTGTTTTTTAAAAAAAAAAATTGGCAATTAGTTACATAGTTAAATTTATACTTATCAAATGATCCAGGATTTCCATTCAAGTTATTTATCCTTAAGAAGCAAAAGTAAATACCAACACAAGGCATATGAAAGTACCTTTATTCATATGTTCCCAAACTGGAAACAAATCATGTGTCCTGCACATGAGGAATACATAAACAAATTGTACCTTGTCCATTTAATGGAGTACATTTCACCAAATAACCATGTTACCTTAATAATATAGACAAATCCTAAAAGCAAAATGTCAAGGGAAAAAATGACACAAAAGCACGTTACTTTCATTTATGTAAAATTCTAGGAAAAGCAAAACTAATTCCAGAAAGAAGCACTTCAGTTGTTGCCTGGGCTGGGCACAGGACATTAACTGCAATAGGACCTGAGAGAACTTTTTGGGAAGAAGGAAATAGTCTTCACTTGACAGTAGGTCTGGTCACACCCAATTATTTCATTAGAATTGTTGAATTTTATTATGTGTAAATATTACTTTCAGCTCTTAAAAATAGGAATGCAACTCTCCTATCTTGATTTTAGGAAAAATTCAAGTTGACAAGCCAATCATATTTTGTCTTTTAACAAGCATGTTTGTTCAATAGTTGATCATGTTTTTCCTCTCATTCTCTTTATTCTAAGTAAACACTGGTTTGCAAGTTGTCATTTCATGAGATTTTATTGTTTTTAAAAATCAATGATACTGAGATATAATCAGGTAAAAATTCTCTTGTTGCTGAGAAATTGGCATACAGAGGTGTTTCAGTGCTTGCTGCCACTTTCCTGTTAGATGTGATGAAGAAAAATGACCAAGTATTTATCTCATTGCAATTTTTAGGATTCCCCCCCTACATTCAGTCTTTTTAACCATTAGTTTTCTGGCCATATTACCATCTTGACCTTTCTAATTCTTAAGACTTTAATATTTCCCATGATATTAATAGTTAACATCTATTGGGCACTTTGTATGTGCACTGTGCTAATATACATTTATTTCTTTAATTCTCACAACAGCTCTGTGATGAAAGTACAGTTATTTTTCCCATTTCATAGATGATGAAACTGACACAGAGAACCTTCCAATTCATAGAGCTACAAAGTAAGAAAGCAATTATTTCATTACAGGTAGTTCAACTTTAAGGGTCCATTCCCTAAACTGTCATCAAACTACAAATCCAGTATATTACAGATCTTACTTTCTAGTGAACAAGAGAATCATTTTTTTAAAATATATTCTTAGACCTTTTTTTTTCTTGTAATTGTTACACTATAGGTTTAGAATGAATCTTAGCAACCTATTTTTTTTCCTTTTTCTTTTATTATTCATGTGTGCATACAAGGCTTGGTTTATTTCTCCCCCCTGCCCCCACCCCCTCCCTTACCACCCACTCCACCCTCTCCCTCTCCCCCCCACCCCCTCAATACCCAGCAGAAACTATTTTGCCCTTATTTCTAATTTTGTTGTAGAGAGAGTATAAGCAATAACAGAAGGCACAAGGGTTTTTGCTGGTTCAGATAAGGATAGCTATACAGGGCATTGACTCACATTGATTTCCTGTGCGTGGGTGTTACCTTCTAGGTTAATTCTTTTTGATCTAACCTTTTCTCTAGTTCCTGGTCCCCTTTTCCTATTGGCCTCAGTTGCTTTTAAGGTATCTGCTTTAGTTTCTCTGCGTTAAGGGCAACAAATGCTAGCTAATTTTTTAGGTGTCTTACCTATCCTCACCCCTTCCTTGTGTGCTCTCGCTTTTATCATGTGCTCATCGTCTAATCCCATTGTTGTGTTTGCCCTTGATCTAATGTCCACATATGAGGGAGAACATATGATTTTTGGTCTTTTGGGCCAGGCTAACCTCACTCAGAATGATGTTCTCCAATTCCATCCATTTACCAGCGAATGATAACATTTCATTCTTCTTCATGGCTACATAAAATTCCATTGTGTATAGATACCACATTTTCTTAATCCATTCATCGGTGGTGGGGCATCTTGGCTGTTTCCATAATTTGGCTATTGTGAATAGTGCGGCAATAAACATGGGTGTGCAGGTGCCTCTGGAGTAACCTGTGTCACAATCTTTTGGGTATATCCCCAAGAGTGGTATTGCTGGATCAAATGGTAGATCGATGTCTAGCTTTTTAAGTAGCCTCCAAATTTTTTTCCAGAGTGGTTGTACTAGTCTACATTCCCACCAACAGTGTAAGAGGGTTCCTTTTTCCCCGCATCCTCGCCAACACCTGTTGTTGGTGGTGTTGCTCATAATGGCTATTCTAACAGGGGTGAGGTGGAATCTTAGTGTGGTTTTAATTTGCATTTCCTTTATTGCTAGAGATGCAACCTATATTTTTAGGAAGCAATCCGTGTGGTGGTTTGTTGAACTCAAAATGGTGATGTTCTTTTAGGGTGAAATAAGATAACAGTTCCAAACACATAGTACATTTTCATAAGTTAATTTTTTTCTTGTTCTTGGTGGTAGATGTTATTGCATAGAATTAGTTAACCATGGCTCAGGTTCTCGACTCCATATTTCAATCATAGTGAAATGATATTGTTTAATTTGCTAAAGACATTTCAAAGTGAAAACATACCTTTATTGAATGGAAATAATTTTTTTCATTTTAATCATTCCAGAAATTAGTGTGATCTGCTCCAACATGTTTCTAAAATACCATTTAGGTTATTTACGACTAATAAGTAGGTTAATTATATTGGTATACTGTAGACATTGTGTAACTTTGTGTCAAGCCATACGTGCAATTGGGATAATTTACTGTACAGGTAAAGAGAAGCAGAATAATCAGAATGGAATTATGATCTTGTGTTGGGGAGAAGGGCCCTTATCTTGAATGCTGCGTAGAATATTAAAACAGCAACAATTAACAAAACCAAAGTGCATGCATCTGGAGCTTTTTCATCATGGGACGGAACTCTAGCTTTGAACAGCTTTCATACATTTGCAGGTGGCACTCACCCTATCCCCATTTCAATGACAGGAACATTGGCTCAGGGTTTCCTTCCAACTTAATTTTTTCCACCATTTCTAATTAAAAAGCATTGCTAACATTTTTACTCAATTATTTTGTTTAATGATTCTGGAATGAGCTGTATCCTTGCAAGGTACCAATGTTATTTTTGTTAGTGATCTTCCTAGAATCTGTTTTTCCACATCCTATTATTTTAGCTATTCATTTTGTTGTAGGATGAATATATCTTGCCATATAACTTAAATCTCATTTTAGGAACTTGAACAACCTCTAGCTCTACAATATCTTAGTCTCTGGAAGTTCTAGTCTGTTGAATGTTTTGTAAATTATAAAACAAGTGTTGTAACTTCCTTCCTTAGAAAGATAATTTCATTTCTCTATCACTGCTAGGGTTGTATTTATTTCTTATTATCCTGTTCTATAAAGCTGACTGGGTTACTTTTTTTTTAAAAAAGACTGTAAGAATTCTAATTTGTATTTGAATGTCTTGTATGATGTATCAGCAAGACCATATATATTTTAGAAGCTCTTTTATCCATAAATCACATCTTACTTAAAAATACATAAAAATTTATAGAGATAGAAAATGCAGGCCAAAGAATATCATTTCTTCAGCATAGAAAGATATTTTCCACAGTGTTGGTCAAGATTCTGATAAGTCATAACTCAGTTTATTAAATATACTCAATATAATGAGTATATATTTATATTTAAGTATCCACTTATTTTTCTAAGAATTTTTTTACATTGTTGCTAATTCTTACCATTTTTTGAAATAAATAAGAACACAGGAGTAACCATATCTTACAGAATCATTCAATACACACATTAGAAATGTGACATACTATCCCTATTATTAAATAGAAAGTTGCTATTAAAACCTCAACTGTTACCCAAATGGGAATGGGAACATAATAGAGTGAGTGAACTTCTTCAAAGGACACCACACACATGTATGGAATTAGCACAAAAATATTCCACTGTATTATTAACTCATGCTAATTCAAAAATAAGGCCTTCCCTTTGAGCCACTCTGCCAGCTTTATTTTTGTGAAGGTTTTTCGAGATAGGGTCTCACGAACTGTTTACCCAGGCTGACTTCGACCCATGATCCTCCTGATCTCTGCCTCCTGAATAGCTAGGATTACAGGCATGAGCCACCAGTACCTGGCTATCCAAAATAAAATAATTTTTAAAATAAATATTGAGCACAAAAAACGATTGAGCATAAAAGCTCAAGTTGCTCTTTATATAAAGTGGAGAAAATAAATGTGTATACACTTTAAGTCATTTTAATGATTACATGTAATAATGCATTATGGGCTTAGCCCTATAACTTCTGTGCAGTACATTCTTCTAAGTATTAGCGATGAGTAATTTTATCATCATTATTAAATTTGGAATTAGGCTACATTTAGTGTCCTGCTCCCTGTGTTTACTGTATTTCATAACCTAGGCAGACCTGGTGTGCTGAACAATTTAGCTGCTGTAGCAAGTTGTACTATTGCACAAATTTAACCTTATTTCATGGGATGAAACAGAATGAACACCGTGGCTCATAGCTGTCAGTAGTGAAAAATAGCTGGAAATTAGACAAACAGCTTCATTGCCGAAATTGTTTCCGGGCTAAAAGTTCTTCCAACAGCTGCTTGTTTTGGCCATTAACATGTCCATTCTTTTTTTTTTTTTTTTTCCCTTAGCTGGGGGAAATACAAGTTTCTTTAAAAAGAGAATACAGACTGGTTATTTCTGAAGTCAGGAAGAACTTCTGTCCTTCCACAATTGTGGTCTTTTGGCTTCTTTGATTTCTGGACTAAAGGACTTTTCCTTTTGTTTTTCTCTACTTTTTTCACTCTCAAAGCTCAGACTCAAACTGCTGTAGTGAGGAAAAAAAAAAACAGGCAAAACTAGGAGTTCTTTAATTCTAGAAAGGGGCTGTGTAACATTTACCTTGAAGAAAAATTTACTCCCCAAAGGAGTATTTAATATTACATAGACACTGACTCACAGAAAGAAGGGAGGGAGGGAGAAAAAGGGAGGGATGGGAGGGAGGAAAGGAGAGTGAGAGAGAAAGAGAATGAAAGAATTCCAACCAGCAAGAAAGATACACTAAAGATGAAGGGAAGTTTTGCCTCTTCCTGAAAGTTATATTATTAGTTTTTTTTTTTTTTTTAAATCAGGATGACTGCTAGTTTTGTTTAAAGTATTTGTTCTGGAAATACTAAAACTGGAGTCTACCAGACTGAGGTTAGGAGCATTTTCTTTGGCAGCAAAAAGATACTTTTATAGAAGCCATGCCTGTTCTTGGGGTTGCCTCAAAACTGAGACAGCCAGCTGTTGGGTCAAAGCCTATTCATACTGCTCTTCCGATACCAAATCTTGGCACTACTGGGTCACAGCATTATTCTTCAAGACCTTTGGAACTGGCTGAAACAGAGAGCTCAATGCTTTCTTGTCAGCTCACATTACAGTCAACCTGTGAATTTGGAGAGAAGAACCCTATCCAAGGAAAAGCCAAGGAGAAAGAAGACAGCAAGGTTAGTAGCTGACCACCTGCAGACTTAAGCAGCTAAAATGCAAACTGCCTTTTAGCAGACTATAAACTTGTAAAGGAATACTACTTTATTTACTTACAGTGTAAATAATTAAGTAGTTGGAATAACTGAAAGGCTGAATATTCAGCTTATTTAAGAACTGTATTTTTAAATTTATAGTTGCAGAAGTCATTAACTCTGAATATGCATGTATTAGGTTTACTGATTGGTGAAGTACATTCTTATTGGAATAGTTTTTTCTAGATACCACAGTATACTGATAGCCATAGCCAAACTCAAATGTGAAAAAGTGCACCTCTTTTCATATACAGCACATATAAAAGATTTACTAGTAAAAATCCATTCTGACATCATCACTCTTCTTTAAATGTCATTTGCATTTGAAATAATTTGTTTGAATATTTGTATCCTAAGCTGCTTAATTCTTTGTAATTTGAAAGAAAATGAAATATGATTGTCTTTGATAATGCACATTTATCTGGATTTTCAATTGTAAATTGAAACCCTACTGTTTTACTTATTACTGACATCTTTTTTCAGTCGTTTAATTTATGATCTTTTGTGAGCAGTAGCTCTTAGTTGTTGGTTGCTCAGCGTAATACAATTGCTTTCCCCAGATGCAATGCTAGCATGGCCCTGCAGCTGAGACCCTTCACTGGAACTCATCTGTGCCCGATAAGCATCACTTTTTATTGTATCATTAACTGTGATGTCAAGCTTTTCAAAATCACCAGTCTCATTTTTGACTTCTCAGGATATGTTTTGATTTTACTTGCCTATTCAAATGTAAGTTAAAAAGTAATTTATGGGGGAAGGTCTTAATACAGAGAAGCTAATTCTGCAATTGAAAAAGAAAGCTACTCCTTTTGTCTGAAATGTGTATTCTATTCTGACTACTTCATCTGCTAAGATTTTAAAATTTCAGCTCAAATACAACTTTCTTCATAAAGTTATTGTTAGCTATGCAACTCCCCGCTTTTTTATTGTGATTCATTGTTTATAGAAATATCTACAGGGCTTGCCTTTATTATTCTGTGTTTAATCACATGGATAATTTCTTTCTAGCCTCACTTAAGTAAAAATACACAGAAGCAGGGTCCATATCTCAATCTATGCTCCAGCTCCCTACCCCCCAAGGCTTCAAAATAATAATTAAATTGTAATTTAATGAATTAACACAGGAATGAATGAATTAACAAATGAATTAAAATTTATTATGACAAAGTTTTGATTAAATTTATTGATCTCTTTGGATTATTTTTTCTGTAAAACAAGTGATTTGGAATGGATAGTTTAAAGTTCTTCTACCTGTAACAGCATTGTCTAAGAATAATCAACTGAAAGAAAATATTTTATTATACGCTTACAGTTATTAGTTCAATGTGAGCAACTGAGAGTACATGTAAGGAAGTACAAATTATTAATAAACCACTTAAAGTAGTTAACTTTCTGCAAATAATTAAAATTGAGTGCCATATAGCTGTTCTAAAGTTCTGTGTTCCTACAACGGTTTGTCAAATTCAGTGGAAAAGATAGATCCATTTTCTCTGCTGAATGTGGCCGACTTTTCTGTAGGATTATTCAAACTTCTGCTTTACTAAATGGCCTTGGTTTAAAACTTGACCACTGTGAGTGGTCAACAGAATTTGGATGATCACTTTGGCTAACGAACATATTAAACTTCCAATACTCCAATAAGACTCCATGGCAAGCAAAGTTATATTTATATTTACAGGAATGTATTTTTTTTTACCATCCCACTTATCAGATTAGGAAGTTTTTCAAGTAAATGTAAATGTTAAAAAAGAAATAGATTTAGTGGTTTTTAAACATTAAAATAAACTAAGGAAAATAGTAGAAATGACCAAGGTAGTTATATTGGAAGGAATTAGACTTGGTTGAAAATAATGGAAAACTAGATATAGCATTAGCATAGACAAGATGGAATCTTGTTTCTTATTCAGGAAAAGAAATGTGGAGGTAAGCAGTCTATGGCTAATAGGGAGACTATAAGAAGTTGTCAGTGAACCAGGCTCTCTCTGTTTTGGCCATTACCATCCACTTGTGGATTCTACCTCTCATCTTGAGTGGATCAGTCAATCAAAAGGACATGCCTCATTTGCTTGTAAAGGGTTTCTTTGACATCTTATTGGGCTACTTATAGTTCCAGATCCTTACCTAGCTATGGTGGAGACTGGAAAATTCAGTGTTTAATTTAGAAAGCCATGTGCTCCGCTAAAAATTATGGGTTCTTTTTCTAAGAGGAAAGAGACCATGAATAGTGCCCACAATAAATACTGTCATTAAAAAACACTTATGTGGAGTACGCAGCTACTCATGGCATCAGTTTTATAGTTTGGTTTGAGAGATCAAACCTATGACAATGTTTGAAATGTGTCTTCAATCCAGCACTTCTTGTTCTAGCCTTGTTTTTTAGAGCAAATGTCATCATTCCAGTCATATATTCTTGAGTTCCTGGAACAATATCTGATGGTTTATCTTGCCATCTCACATCTTATATCTTGCTACAAACTGGAGATTTCATTTCTGTGTTATAACTCTGTTTATCACTTTCTAAACCATCCCTATCCTTTGGCCCTACTTTTTACCAATTATTTCACTTGTTTCAAATTGGTATACTCTCCTCCTGTGTATCTTTCTCATTATCCATTCAACATTTTCCTCATACTGCTTAATAAAAAAAAAAACTATAGTCATTCTTCATATCTTATTTATATTTAGGCATTCTGGTCTCCCAACTTTTGTCACTTCCTTTTTCTCTATCATAGCTTTGTCTAGCTACTCTATCTCAGATGTTTCTTCTTGGTGTCCCAATTTCTTCAGACTACTTAGTTCCACAGTCCTTTAATAAATAATACTAGTTCTGGACTCTGCATCCTATAGAACTGGAAAATATATCATGATGTGTTAAGTTTTTATGTTTTGCTTAGCTGTATTTCTTACTTATTTTGAATTTCCTCATATGCATTTGTTTTTCTGTTCTTTCTGAGCTCTTACATAAATGAGTAACAGGTTCACTTTACCTTGGAATGTTTATTTAGAACCTGGAGGTTAAGTTTAAAAGAGAGATTCTGTTTATCTCAGTTCAATAAGCAACCTACAGTTAAGTTCCTTGTCCATACCTACCACTAAGAACTCTTTACTTCTAAAACCCAGTTTGGTCTGCTGCTATCCTACATTTACTCATCTTTCCAACTTCTTTTCACTCTTGAGTCCACTCAGCCCTTCCCTCTTAGGTTACTGGTACAAATTCAAGGTTTTTTTTTTTTAATGTTATTTAGAAATCAATTATTTTAGTACCTACTCTATACATACAAAATTTTTCAATTTATTCTCATAAAATTTTAAAGAAGGTATTATCCATATTTACAAAGAAACAAACTCAGGCTTAGAGAATGTAAATGATAATCTCATAACGTCAGATAGTTAACTAGTACCAAAGTCCAGAATTTGAATCCAGGTTTGTTTTTATTAAGCTTTTTTGTTTCTCTGTTACTTTTTACTCTTCATGATGTATTTGCAATATTTTTTCCTAGGTTTACCCTATCCTCCAACTCTTACCCACCCTTTAAGTTTCATTTCTTTCCTTTATTTCCCCCCTGTAGTACTACTTGGGAGTTGAACTCAGGGCCTTCACTTGCTAGGCAGACACTCTACCACTTGATTCATTCTACCAGCCCTTTTTGTGTTGGTTCTTTTTGATAGGGGCTCACTTTATGCCCAGGCCAGGTTGGACGATAGTCTTCCTATTTGCACTTCCCCGTTTAGCTGTGATGACAGGTGCATGCTACCACATCCAGTTATTGGTTAAGATAGGGTTTCACAAACTTTTTGCCTAGACTGGCCTTGAACCACAATCCTCCAGATCTCTTCATCCGAAGTAGCTCAGATTATGGACTTGAGCCCATATGTCCAGCCTAGACTCATTTCCAAAGTTAAATAAAAGTATAAACAAATTTCTATAGAGATTTAAAGGAAATAGAATTTGCATCTAGTTAAAGAAGCTGCTCTGCTTTAAAGAGACATCCCTTATGCTACTATGAGTATTCATTTAATTTTCCTGCTGTATGTGTTATAGTGACAATCAAAGAAGGGATTATTTCTTTCTCAAAATTCACAAGGACTGGAAAGCTGAAGACAATCAAAAACATTAGTTAAGTTGTATATTTAAAATAAACACAAATACTAGTTATAGGTAAGTGAATATATTGGATGAATAGTATTATAAATGAAGGCAATTCTTTCATTGGTGTGTATAGCTGAGAGAAATCCTATTTGAATGAAACATACACAAAATATTTGAAGTTGTTGGAATTTAATGGAGAGGAGAAGCATTCTTTTGAAGAAAGGTTTGAGCAGAAAAATGTACAGTGAGTAAAGCATAATTAAAGCAGAATATTTGGGGAGAGTTAAGTTTGGGTCAGACAATCAATAAAAGCCAACTTCATTAGGTAGACAGTGTGCAAGGCTCTTTCATGAGATTGAGACAAAATTACACTGGCAGTGATAACTAGGAGAAACTACTGCTGGTAGCATCAAACATTAACTAATTTTTTTATGTTGTTATTTTGTTTTGTTTGAGACAGGATCTTACTATGTAGCCCAAACTGGTTTTGAACTTGTGACCCTCTGCATTAGCCTCTCACGTGCTGGGATTACAGGTGTTTAGCTGAGCTAATGTTTTAGAGACTTGCTACGTGCCAGACACTGGACCAAAAACTTCATGAAGTATTTCATTGAGACATCAAAATAGCTTTATGATTAAGACATTATTATTGTCCTCATTTTAAAGACAAAGAATCTGAGGCTTAGAGAGGTTAAATCACCCAATAATATATCTCAATAGTATAATGTGGTAGAATAAAATTTCACAGTAAGCCTGTGTGGTTGCAGAATGTTACTCTCAAATAATAAACTAAACTGACACAATAAAAACTTTGATGGGGTCAGTGGAAAAAAGG